TCCTGTTTATGAGCTCCTATGTCATTTTTAATCACTAGATCTTGGTCCATATGAGAGAGATGGAATACTACAACTCCTACCACTTGAAATCCGAGTTTCACAAAAAGAATGAAATATAATTAGCACTTTATGAGCATTATTTACACCCATTTTCAAAATCTAAGATCCGCAGTTCTAGGTAGGGCGTCTATACTAAACACATAAATAGACTTTCCTTGTAGAGGTTACTTATACTGACATGGGTCACTTTAATCTTCACGAACTAGCTCTTTTGACTCGGATTTGTACGCCTAACACTTCACACTTCAGCATGCTTGACACTGCAATTTACGAATCCAAAATCTACACTCTGAGGTACAAAGAATATTTAAACAATAGTATGTATTACAGATAGATAGAGAGAGATTTACCTGCCATAATAAATGTTACAATGTTCATGCTTTACGCTTGAGTTAATCCTTACAGGGAAACGATGCCTAATAATCCAATTATTACTTGATATTTGGTATTTTCAACGTGACTCGGAGGTTAAATGTCTAGTTCAAGATCCATAGGTTCAGGCACAGCCATTCCTAATTTAGGAATGTCCTGAAGGAAGGCAACTGGTCAGCATCGTCTGCTGCCTATGAGGCTACTTTTAGCCGAATAATAACATTAGCTATGCAGCGGCATATCTCGATTCAAATCTTGGACCTTCCAATCTTCAGTCTGACACGCTAACCACAAGGCCACGGTTGGTCATTATTAACTATTATGGAAGAGTATACTTTTAATCGTTATTGATAAAATGTGAATCTTTCATCGTTTCCGTAAACCCAGCAACTTTTAACCATGGACCTGGCATGATCTGGTAGTTAGGGCACTTGACTCGCAATCTGGGATTCGAGAGCCCGAATCTCTTCACCGAACATGCTCGCCCTTTCAACCGCGGGGGCGGTATAGTGTGATGGTCAATCCCACTTTTTATTGGTAAAAGAGTAGCCCAAGAGTTGTCGGTAGGTGGTGTTGACTAGCTGCCCTCCCTCTAGTCAATCACATCAAAATTAGGAATGGTTAGCGCAGATAGCCCTCGAGTAGATTTGCGCGAAATTCAACGAACACACACACACACACTTTTAAACACATTGGATTTTGGATTAAGAGGTTCAGTTTTCGTACGTGATTTGGATGACTGTTAGTTACGTTAGAATATCAAGATTATTAGATGAAAAAATACGCTTTTCGTGTTTAGAAGACATTTTAAGTAGAGGATACTCCACTGGATTGGAGACTTTTATGTGCTGCGCCTCTTGTTGAAGACGGGGTGAAGGCGAGTTCGAAACGTCATCCTCATTCATTCCCAGGCAGTTGCAGTCCACAAAAGTTTCCAATCCAATAGGTTTTCCATATTTTTATTATTCCCCTCCAGTGGCACAGCGGTATGTCTGCGGACTTGCAACGCTAGAAACCGGGTTTCGACACCCGTGGTGGGCAGAGCACAGATAGCCCATTGTGTAGCTTTGTGCTTAACGTCAAACAAACCAAACCTTTTACTGCTATTATTTTAAATGCTATTCAAAGTCGTGAAAAATATGAAAGAGACTGTAAGTTCCCTAAGTATTATTTCGCTATTGCTTCTGACAGGACTTACACTAATAAATTACATTCATTGTTTTTCTCTTTAACCTGCAAAACTGTTCGACAAACAATTTTACAAGAAATTAAAAAATAGTCTACTTTCCTGTTTTTTATTGTGTAGACACATTAGTTAATTTCCGTATAAAACCGCTAATTTTCTTGTTCTTCTTAATGCTCTGACGAAACAACAAAGTTATTCAATTTCTGTACTTCATAAAAAAATAATTAATCTAGTTCCTTACAAATCGATTGTATTATTAAATTGTCTATTGTTATGAGAGTCAAAAGAAGAAAACTGGTTAATTGAATTGCGTCTGTGATGTTTTCAGAAACTTACTGAGAGAAGAATGGTTAATTGTTTGACCTCTACCAGAATGGTATTGGTTTCATTTTTATTTGGTGGATACCAGTTGAAACTTTCTATAATGTTGAGTTAAAAATGCATATTACACTAGTTACAACCGTGCTAACTATGTGGATGAAATGAAACAAAATTCCAAGTTTTAAACGTCAACAACACTCTTTTAAACCGATGGAATGAATACCAGGATTAATTCAAATCCCATGACAATCTTTGTTTATAGTTATTTGCGATTACGATATTAAATAACATGTTAATGTATGGTTGTAGGAAGCCCAAAGATGAAAGAGTCTATTATGTTGTGGAGATCATCAAGAACATGCGATCTTTGGCTTTTACTTGTGTGAAATTTGGTATTTCCAGGCAGACTAGCACCTTAGTCGACAAATAGAATAAGCGGCCTAGTCAAATATTCCAATGTTCAGGCATACTCATCCTTGATTTAAAACTATTGACCCGAGGTAGAACAACCAGTTAGCAGCCTAAACGACTATTCTGAACCGAATAGTGGGAATGACGTCACTTTTATAACGTGCCCACAATCTGAAGCGTGACATATCGCGGCTCGAACCCTGCACATTCTGACTGGTAGTTTATGAAACTGTCTTTGTTTTTCTAATAAAACTAATAGTAGCTTACCAACTACTCTTATAGAGTTTTAAATGTAGTTGACGTGTGATGATTAACTGTAGAAGGTTTAATTATTTGAAAAGTTGATTAATTAACGAAACAGAGGTCGATTTTTATTTGGTATATTTGAATTTCGCGCAAAGCTACACGATGACTATCTGCGCTAGCCGTCCCTAGTTTAACAGTGAAAGAGCAGAGAGAAGGCAGATAGTCATCACCACCCACCGCTAACTCTGGGTTGCTCTTTTACAAACCAATAGTGGATTTGACCCTCACAGTATAACGCTCCCACGGCTTAAAGGGCGACCATATTTGGTGGGACGGGGATTTGAACCCGTGATCCTCAGATTGCCAGTCAAGCGCCCTAACCACCTGGCCATACCAGGCAACAGAGGTCGATAGATAATGTGAGGTCGAACAACACGTTTATGGAATGGATTAGAAAAAAAATAAACTTGAGGAAACAGGCGGAATAATCTTATATTTGACAGTTAAAGACAGACAGACAGACAAGCAGTGTACGCCTTATATTTCTTTTGTGGAAAGATGAGTAAACGTAATCTGATTATGCTTTAAGAGATGAATGGTTAAGATATTTATAAAATCCTATATTAAAAGGTTTTGTTGAAAAGCTGAAGTATGGTTTTACAGAGAAACACGAGCCCATCACATATCATTATCAGAGTTATAAATAACTTAGTGTTAGAAGAATGCATTCGTATACTACATATTCCAAGCCTGTAGGGATACTTTCACTGGTATTGAAAAATAATGCTTCATCTAAAAGCTTTTTGAACATTATCTATCGAACCGACCTTCGCCTTCGCGCCCTTCACTTGTAATCTGCTATACTTTACTGATCTATAAATAACCTTTTTGAATGAACAAAGTCATATTGATGTTATATCCCCATTCTTTCTTTTTCCTGAGTCTTTTCTAAAATGCAGTAAAAGAGTAACTCTTCAACATTGAAAATTTCGTGTATGTTAGTAAGACTGGTATCTCAAAAAGTATTTTGTTTGTAGTTAAGCACAAAGCTACACAAAGGGCTATCTGTGCTCTGCCACCACGGGTATCGAAACCAGGTTTCTAGCGTTGTAAGTCCGCAGACATACCGCTGTAAAATAGAGAATTATGAATTCCGAAACGTAATATGAAGTTAGCCTCACTGACAATGACCATATTTAAAACTTTATAATCGAGTAAGAAATGACTGAAACAGTGATAAAATATGACAGTCAATTTTACCTTGCACTATCTTGCACTATTTAGTTAGACAAGAGTAACCAACGAGTTGGAGATGGATAATGTCTATTAGCTGCCTTCCATCCAGTCTATCAGTTTAAAATTATGAATGCAGAGAAAAACCTTTGAGTAGCTTTGGACGAAATTTCTGAAACTAACAAACAAATACTTTGGACATTCTGACTGATTTAAGAAAACAATTTTTGTTATAAATGTCGTTCGCTAGTATAAGCTAGGACTTTTTTTTTTACGCCTTTAGCTAAGCGTGGCCCAATGGTTAACGTATCAAGCTGTGTAACTGAGGTTCCGTGGTTCGCGTCTCGTTACATTAAAAAAAATTGGGAGGGGCGTTGTTACGGCCTCAAAATGACAGTTAAATTCCAATGAGACTCCATACCCTTAAAGTTAAAATAAAAATTTCACACAGGTGTTATAAACAGGAAGGAAGTAGTATGTGAAAATAAATTTAAATTAAATTCAGATAATTTTATGACAGCTACGAAATTTTATGAGCATGATTTTTATAATGACACTGAACCCTTCAAATGCATATATTGATAATCGAGTTTACTTGTATGAGGTGTGTCTTCCTAAAAATATTACTTTTTCAAGTTTTCATAATTATATTGTGGGTATGAAATAACTTTTAATAACGAAGGGTTTGAATTCACACACACAAAAGTATAAAACCACATCTTTACTTAGAGTGTAATATCACTTTAGGACTATATAAAAACTTTTTATTTGGCCTAATGAAATATCTCAGTTGTAATGCATACAAAATGGCGATTACTGTCTTTCATAACTGATCGCCCTATGAGAATCTTAATGCGAGTTTGAATCTGGCCGATTCAAGAAACATTATAAACACCGAACAAATATCAAGAAACAAAAACAAACACTTTATATTCCAGGTACTTTTAATAAAAATAGTTCTCAAACCTAATCTGCTTTTAAAGTCTTCAGAGAATGGGAATCATGACTGAAATAGCAGTTAATTTTAACAAATAAATAAAAACTTTATCTACACACAGACACGCGGCATATTCGTCCTTTTCATTGTTCCCTTTATATTTGTATGTATGTGTTTAATATAACCATATGTATATATATATATATATATTTTCCCTTTTTTTTTTTTAGTAAGTCTCTAACGTACAATTATTCGAGGAGAGTTCCAGTCTTTGGAAATGTGTCAGCGGATAATCAGCGTGATTACCATAATATCTCTTCTATCATCATTTGCTCTTAACTGGCATGTGAAACCCGTGCAGGTATGTTAAGCTGCAAAGCTACTTTTATCAGTTTATCTCACTTATACACAAGGTCGAGTACGTTATATTAAAACGATTTAGTATAAGGAAATAAACATGTATGTAATAACTACAGCTGATATAAAGTCACGGTGAACAGCTTGTATCACAACTACATTTTAACATTGTTTGCTGCTTCATATAGGTAATGTAATGGCGCAGAGAATTAATCGCTTTTGGGAAGGGTATGTAACCGCCATTTCCGACGCAAAATATTCACACACTCTGGCCATAAATGCGTTCAGGTCGGGGATTTAGGATATCTAAGACAGTGATAAACCTTGTACTACATAGCATTGAAAACCAAAGGAATGTAGATCAACTTGGGGCACCAGGATTATGTAGAAAGAGACCTGCAACAAGATGTACCCCAGCCATGTTAAGCATAGAGCAGGTGAAAAACCTATGAACCCATAGGTCAATGGCAAAAGTCGTTCACGTGTCTTAGATTGGAGTACCCAGCATAATCAAGAAGGTTTTCAATCTGGAACCGAGGCCAACAGGGTAAGATTCACCAAGATAAGTCGTCCAGTTATACCTCCTCTTCAACCATTGCATACGTAAAACAGCTGGAGAATTAAACGAGTAATTATGTTATTCGTGCGAGGACGTACAGGTCAAGTCGTCAGACGCAGTGCCTCTGGATTTTCGTGCGATTGGACTGTTGAAACTTATGGTAGGGAACCATTGTCATCCCTCATTAGGTGCATTATTGAAAGCTAGCAAGGAGTAGTAGTACGCTTTTTGCATGACAACATTAAGGTATTCAAATGCACAGTGTTCAAATAAAGCATGACAGGACGTGCCGAAATGTACTGTAACGGATCCAAAATCTTTAATGTAGCGTACTCACCCATTTCTCTTTATATGTATATGTGTGTGTGTGACGTAGGTAAGGTCAATTATTTCTACCCCGATATAGTATCAATGTTAGACAATCCTGAGCTTTTAGTGTTACTTCCCCGAAAGTGGGCCGAAGGTCCGCCTGAAGGGATCACCTCTTTTAACCACTCCCATTACTATACGGTAGTGTGTTGTCTGTCAGTCAGTCAGTAGATACTAAAACGACGTTACATAAGGGACGCTTAACGTTATAATTTGTACTGTAATGACGTCAGTAAAACGTGCGCATGCCATGAATCACGAGAAGAATTATGCACTCTGTAGGCTACAACACATCATGACATATGAACTTCAAAAGGAAGGAAAAAATATTTGTTAATCTTAATTTTGGTTTTATTAAGTCTTGAAACAGAACTCTTTCAGGGAACCTGCGAAAGTAAATCTAGTACGTACTTGTTCGTAAGTAAAACATACTATAAAATTCAGTTAATATGACTGTAACTAATTAGCCGATTTATGATTGTAACTAATTAGTTGATTTAATTACTATTTCCACAAGAACTGGACTGAGTGATAATTAAATTTCTCGGTTCTTAAGATCCCTCCAACATGACACATCGAATGTTATATTTTATGGAGATTTTAAAGGAAAGAAAACGCAAGAAATTTTAATCACTTTGAAAAATTAGTTCAAAGATGAATGACACAGATAAAAGATTTTCAAAGGTAATCTTCGGGTTTCATGTTATAATGTATTCGGTCCATTCAAAGGCATGAATCACAGAAAATGATGAGAGGCTTAATGATTTAAAATGCTTCTTGTTTTGTTTTAATTAAAACATTTAATTTGAGTTTATAGCAGCAAGTATTTATAATATGAAATGAGCAGTAAATATAATATGATGTATATGCATAAAAAGGAGATTAACTTTTGTAATACTTACATAAAAAATACGGTCATAAGTTAGAGTATGTTTTTCAAATGGAAATTCAAGTCTGGTGATGAGTACTTTAACTATACATTTGTTTATGTTTGTTTAATAAATTTATTTCAAAATGAAGAAGCGCATATTTGTAGCTTATTACCTCAAAAATTAGTTTTATGTGATGTCATGTTCTCAGTGAGTGTTTGAGCTCGTGCCTGTATTTATAACTTGTAAATGAATAAGGATAAAAAGAAAACTAGTTTACTACTGTGCATGTTCATCTCAGTTTATAAGCCCACCAGTGGCACAACGGTATGTCTGCGAACTTACAACGCTAGAAACCGGGTTTCCATACCCGTGGTGGGCAGAGCACAGATTGCCCATTGTGTAGCTTTGTGCTTAACTTCAAAAGCAAAACAAACAAACAGTTTATAAACTCTAATTCTACTGAAAAACTAAACCCTAGTGGCACTCCGGTAAGTTTCAAAGCCTTATAGCGCTAAACACCAGGTTTCGATGCCCGAGGTGGGCACAGCGCAGATAGCTCATCGTATAGCTTTGCGCTTAACAACAAACAAAAATTAAAACTCACTTTAGCTCATAGTTTTTCAATATAATGTAGATAGTTAAAAAAGCATGAACGATAAGAAACAACTAATGATTTCTAATATTTTCGAAAGTGATAAATGCTTTTGTAGGAAATGCAGATAGTGACGTTTTATTGCATTAAACAAGACGATACAAAAGTTTTAAAGCGTTTTTCAAAGTCTTTTCACCAAAGGACGATCATTCTTGTTATTGTTTGTTTCCATATATTTGTATTTCGGTTTTTAGTGAATTCACGTATTGTGTTAACGTTTCAGGCGGGGCTTGTCTCTACCCAAGGAGCCTCAGAGAGCAGTAAGTATTATTGTTGAACATATTTCTTTTAGGTTGAATCATAAATGAAATAAATCAGAGTTTTGTAAACTGTCTCCAAATATTTACTCACGTAAACTATTCGTATTTGCTGCAATAGAGCCCGCGAAATCCTTTATGTATCATCCAAACAAATATGATGCTAACGTTAAATCAAAATTTATAAAATAACAATATAAACGCTATTTCCTCCCAAATCAAATCAGTCAACCACAGTTCCCCCAGAAGTAATTTTGCTTTATCTGGTTAGGCTTAATAAACAATCATACTTATCAGAAATTAATCTGTAACAAAAAGGGGTAACTTAGGGGGAAGAGACTGGGTGGTTCTTTGGTACAGCTCTAGATTTTAGAGCTCGCGAGCTGGATTTGAATCCGTGCGATATCGCACGCATTTTAAGCTGTTGATGCGTTATAAGAGTGACAGTCAATCCTTTAGCGTGAATCAGGCCCGTCAGCAGTAATACACATGCGCACACACACACAGAGGGGCACATATATTATTAGAGGGTGCACCAATTTCAATTGTTTCCGAAAGAGCTATCGAAATCGCGAGCGAGCATAACGAGCGAAGCCCCTCCAGCTGGGGGTTTGGGGAGATGCTCTACTGAACTGATATTTTTTCTTTCCTAAATAACTTTATGAACTTTGATCTAAGGTAGGTTATTCCACATCAGATCAAGTGATGTACAAACGCATGAACGCCATAAGATTTGGAGGGGCACCATCTTGAAATGAGGGTGGGCACGGCCCCTCCGTGTGCCTCACCTTGGCGACTGGGTCGGCATGAATAGTGAATGGTACGTACTGCTTGATTGGCTGCTTTTCCTTTTGTCAATAGTTCAAAACAGGGACGGCTGCAGATAGCATTAGCACTTTTACCACATATACGAATACGGTAAATTAAGGTTTGACATTTAAAATGGATTTGTAAACAGTTATTAGAGAGTTTCTGACCATTTTTAAACAAAAAATTACGAGCTTTTACGTTAAATGTAGTAATTTTTAAACGTTATATTTTTTCCACGGACGTTCAGAGGATTTTAAAGTGTTAAAAGTTTCAATCTCTTCAAAGTCGCAATCTGGAATTTTGAAACAGGAGACACAAAAAAATGTTTTATTCAGAAAAGTTTGGACAATCTCAATCAGCACATCAAGCCTATTCTCAGTCGCATCTATTGCAAGTAGACAAAGTTCACCGACCCTCACCTTGAAAATTTAATTCATCCTTACAATATCCTGCACACCACTACCTGAGTTGTAAAAACAAAGTTAACAAGGATAACTCCTGAAACCTACTCACACATTTATATTCTCACAATCAGCCTAAATTGTTAAAAACAAAGTTAACAAGGATAACTCCTGAAACCTACTCACACATTTATATTCTCACAATCAGCCTGAGTTGTTAAAAACAAAGTTAACAAGGATAACTCCTGAAACCTACTCACACATTTATATTCTCACAATC